TCAAAGACAGACCACATGTTAGGACACAAAGTAAGTCTCTACAAATTCAAGAAGATTAAATCATATCAAGCATCTTCTCAGATCACAATAGCATGAAACTAGAAATCAATTACAGCAAAAACATTCAAACACATGGAGATTAAATAGCATGTTATTAAACAATGAATGGGTTACCAAGTAGATCAAGGAAGAAATTTTAAAATTCCTGGAAACCAGTGAAAATGAATACACAACAACACAAAATCTATGGGACGCAGCAAAAGCAATCCTGACAGGGAAATTCATAGCACTACAGGTCTACCTCAAGAAACAAAAATTCCTAATTGACCTTCTAACCCTACAATTTAGAGAACTAGAAACTAAACAAAAAGAAAAGCCCTGCCCTGGCAGGTTTGGCTCAGTGGTTAGAGCGTTGGCCTGCAGTTTGAAGAGACCCGGGTTCGGTTCCCGCTAAGGGCGCGTACCTCGGTTGCAGTTTCTCCCCGGCCCTGATTGGGTCATGTGGGTGGCAACCACTAGATGTGTCACTTTCACATTGATGTTTCTCTCTCTCTCCCTCCCTCCCACTCTATCTGAACAAAATATCAAAAAATGTCCTTGGGTGAGGATAAAAAAAGAAAAGAAAATCCCAGAGCAAGCAGAATGAAAGAAATAGTCAAGGTCAGAGCAGATATAAACAACATAGCAACTAAAAAAAAAAAAAATTCTTTTCAAAAGATCAATGAAACAAAGAGCTGGTTCTTTGAAAAGATAAACAAGATTGATGGACCCTTAACCAGACTCACCAAGAAACAAAGAGAGATGACCCAAATAAACAAAATCTCACCAGAAACAAAAGAGGAGAAGTAACAACTGATACCACAGAAATACAGAGGATCAATAAAACATACTATAAACAATTATACGCCAACAAATTTGACAATCTAGGCAAAATGGACAAATTTCTAAAAACATACAGTCTCCCAAAACTGAACCGGGAAGAGAAAGAAAACTTGAACAGACCAATAACAACTAAGGAAATTAAAGATATAATCAAGAAACTCCCAGTAAATAAAAGTCCAGGCCTGGACAATTTCATGGGGGAGTTTTACTGACCATTCAAAGATCTAACACCCATTTTCCTCAAACTATTCCAAAAAATCCAAGAAGACAAAAGACTTCCAAACTCATTTTATGAGGCCAGCATAATTCTAATTCCAAAACCAGATAAAGACACGACAAAGAAAGAAAACTACAGGACAGTATCCCTGATTAACATAGATGCCAAAATCCTTAACAAAATATTAGCAAATTGGATCCAGCAATATATCAAAAAAAAAGTATTCATCATGACCAAGTGGGATTCATCCCAGGGATACAAGGATGGTACAATATTTGCAAGTCAATAACTGTGATACACCACATAAATAAAATGAAAGATAAAAACCATATGATAATATCAATAAATGCTGAAAAAGCATTCAACAAAATCCAGCACCCATTTCTGATAAAAATGCTCAGCGATGTGAGAATAGAGGGATCATATCTTTTTTTTTTTTTTGTACGTGCCCCTAGCAGGAACCAAATCCAGGAATCTCTGGTCCGCAGGCCAACTCTCCAACCGCTGAGCCAAACCAGCCAGGGCGAGCGATCATATCTTGACATAATAATGGCCACATATGAAAAACCTACAGCCAACATCATACTCAATGGGCAAAAATTAAAAACTAAAAACAAGAAGGGATGTCCACTTTCACCACTCTTATTTAACATAGTACTGGAAGTCTTAGCCACAGCAATTAGATTTGAAAAAAACATAAAAGGGATCCAAATTGGAAAAGAGGAAGTAAAACTGTCATAATTTGCAGATGACATGATACTGTACATAGAAAACCCTTAAGACTCCATAAAAAATCTACTAGATTTAATAAATGAATTTGGCAAAGTAGCAGGATACAAAATTAATGTCAAGAAATCGACAGCATTCTTATACACCAACAATGAACTCACAGAAAGAGAAACTAAAAAAAAAAATCCCATTTACCACTGTGGCAAAAAAGTTAAGATACCTAGGAATAAACTTAACTAAAGAAGTAAAGGACCTATTTGCAGAAAACTACAGGTCATTGAAAAAAGAAATAGAGGAAGATATAAAGAAGTGGAAGCAAATACCTTGTTCATGGATTGGAAGAATTAACATCATTAAAATGTCCATACTACCCAAAGCAATCTATACATTCAATGCAATCCCCATCAAAACACCAATGCTGTTTCACAGAACTAGAACAAATACTCCAAAAGTTTATATGGAACCAAAAAAAGACCCCAAATAGCCATAGCAATCTCGAAAAAGAAGAACAAAGTAGGACGGATCACAATACCGGACATCAGGTTATACTACAAAGCCATAGTAATCAAAACAGCCTGGTATTGGCACAAGAACAGGCATATAGATCAATGGAACAGAACAGAGAACCCAGAAATTGACCCAAGTCATTATGCTCAATTAATATTTGACAAAGGTGGCAAGAGCATACAGTGGAGTAAAGATACCTCTTCAATAAATAGTGTTGGGAAAATTGGACAGCTACATGCAAAAAAAAAATGAAGCTAGACCACCCACTTACAACATATACAACAATAAACTCAAAATGGATAAAAGACTTAAATGTGACTTGTGAATCCATAAAAATCCTAGAAGAAAATGTAGGCAACAAAATTTCAGACATCACACGCAGTAGAATTTTCACTGATATAATGCCTAAGGCAAGAGAAACAAAGGAAAAAAATGAACACATTGGACTACATCAAACTAAAAAGCTTCTGCACAGCAAAAGTAACAAGCATCAAAATGGAAAGGGAACCCATTATATGGGAGAGCATAATTGCCAATGATACATCAGAAAAGGGGTTAATTTCCAAAATATATAGAGTACTCATACAACTGAACAAAAGGAAGACAAATAGTCCAATTAGAATGAGCAGAGGACCTAAATAGACACCTCTCCAAACAGGACATACAAATGGCCAAGAGATGCTCAACATCACTAATCATCAGAGAGATGCAAATTAAAACAATTATGAGGTATCACCTCACACCTGCCAGAATGGCTGCCATCAACAAATCATCAAACAAATGCTGGCGAGTGTGTGGAGAAAAGGGGACTCTGGTACACTGCTGGTGGGAATGCAGACTGGTGCATCCACTATGGAAAACAATATGGTGTTTCCTTAAAAAATTAAAAATTGAACTGCCATTTGACCCAGTGATCCCACTTCTGGGAATATACCCTAAGACTGAAACATTCAGAAAGAATAAATGCACCCCTATGTTCATAGCAGCACTATTTACGATAACTAAGATCTGGAAACAGCTCAAGTGTTCATCAGTAGATGAGTGGAATAAAAAGCTGTGGTACATTGCCCTGACTGGTTTTGCTCAGTGGTTAGAGCATTGGCCCAGAAACCAAAGAGTGATGGGTTCAATTCCCAGTCAAGAGCATGTTCCTTAGTTCCAGGTTTGATCTGTGGGAGACAACCAATGTGTCTCTCTGACATTGATATTTCTCTCTCTCTTCCTCCCTTCCACTCTATCTAAAAAAAAAAAATCAATGAAAAAAATATCCTCAGGTGAAGATTAAAAAAAAAAAAAAGCTGTGGTATGTTTACACAATGGAATGCTATGCAGCTGTAAAAAAGAAAGCCCTCATCCTTTGAGATGGCATAGAGAGACCTGGAGAGCATTATGCTAATTGAAATAAGCCAGTTGGAGAAAGATAAGTATCACATGATCTCACTTATTTGTGGAATGTAATGAACAAAATAAGCTGATGAACAAAACAGATCCAGAGACATGGAAGTAGGGAACAGACTGACAAACCTCAGAGGGAAGGGGGTGGGGAAATGGAAAGAGAAAGACCAAAAAACTGATATGTATATATGCATAACCAATGGACACAGACAACAGTGTGGTGAAAGCAGGGGGACAAGGTGTCAACAGGGGGGGAAAGGGGTACATCTGTAATACTTTCAACAATAAAGATAAATTTTAAACATTTTTACACCCCCCCCCCAAAATGTCTTTAAAGTGAAAGGATGAAAAAAGAGATTCCATGCAAATAGTAACCAAAAGAAAGCTGGGGTGACTATGCTAATATTCATCAAAATAGACTAAATCAAAAAAGGTAACAAGAGGTAAAAAGTGCATTATATATCAATAAAAGTTTCAATACAGCAAGAAGATATAACAATTATAAATATTTATTGACAGCCAGTCAAAATATATAGAAAAAAGGGGACAGAACTTAAGGGAGAAATAGATCGTTCTATAGTAATAGCTGGAGTCTTCAACACCCCACTCACAATAATGGATAAAAAACCAGACAGAAGATAAGGAAGCAGAGGACTTAACACAATATGCCACCTTGATCTGATAGACATATACAAAACACATGACCCAACAGCAGCATACACATTCTTCTCAAGTGCACATGGGACATTTTCGTTAGGGCACAAATTAAGTCTCAGTAGATTTGATTTGATTTTTTAGAGGTAAGCAACACATTTAGTTTTATTTCAATCCAATCATAACACTTTCTTTTCCAACTGATGCAAAGTGTACCTACAATCTATTATTACATTTTCCAAGGATTTCCCTGTGACATCACAGCATGCCCCTTTTTTCTCAGAGAAATAGTCCCAAATTCTTTCCCAAATAAAAATAATTCTATTCCAGTAAATGGTAGTACATGAAATTATAGTAAAGCAGACATTTAAAGGACAGTCAAGAAGTCTTCCACCCTGGCCAGTTTGGCTCAGCAGTTAGAGCATCGGCCCTTGAACCAAAGAGTCATGGGTTCTATTCAGGTCAAGGGCACATACCTCAGTTGCAGTTCATCCCTGGCTCTGGTCAGAGTCTTGGGGGAGGCAACCAATCAATGTGTCTCTTTCACATCAATCTCTCTCTCTCCTCGCTTCCTTCCTCCAGCTCTATCTGAAGATAAATGAAAAAATATCCTCAGGTGCTCGCTTCAGCAACACATGTACTAAAATCGAAACGATACAGAGATTAGCATGGCCCCTGCACAAGGATGACACGCCAATTCGTGAAGTGTTCCATGTTAAAAAAAAAAAATCCTCAGGTGAGGATTTAGAAAAAGAAGTCTTCCAATGTTTATTAGAAAGAATGTAGACATTTAAAAATATCCCTGAGTGCTGCCAACGCCCCGGCGGAGAAGCTGAGGTCATCGTCGGATTAGAAATATTTAAAGTGGATAGAAAATTGTTTTAGCAATGCAGAAAATTAAGTGTGTTGTTGTGGGCGATGGTGCTGTTGGTAAAACATGTCTCCTGGTTTCCTACACAACAAACAAATTTCCATCTGAGTATGTTCCAACTGTTTTTGACAACTATGCAGTCACAGTTATGATTGGTGGAGAGCCATATACTCTTGGACTTTTTGATACTGCAGGGCAAGAGGATTATGACGGATTATGACCGCTGAGTTATCCACAAACAGATGTATTTCTAGTCTGTTTTTCAGTGGTCTCTCCATCCTCATTTGAAAATGTGAAAGAAAAGTGGGTGCCTGAGATAACTCACCACTGTCCAAAGACTCCTTTCTTGCTTGTTGGAACCCAAATTGATCTCAGAGATGACCCCTCTACTACTGAGAAGCTTGCCAAGAACAAACAGAAACCTATCACTCCAGAAACTGCTGAAAAGCTGGCACATGACCTGAAGGCTGTCAAGTACGTGGAGTGTTCTGCACTTACACAGAAAGGCCTAAAGAATGTATTTGATGAAGCAATATTGGCTGCCCTGGAGCCTCCAGAACCGAAGAAGAGCCGCAGGTGTGTGCTGCTATGAACATCTCTCCAGAGCCCTTTCTGCACAGCTGGTGTCGGCATCATACTAAAAGCAATGTTTAAATCAAACTAAAGATTAAAAATTAAAATTCGTTTTTGCAATAATGACAAATGCCCTGCACCTACCCATATGCACTCGTGTGAAACAAGGCCCATAGGTATGGTCCCTTTCCCCCTCTCAGTACGAGTTAATTTTGAGTAATTGTGTATTGTCAGAAAAGTGATCAGTACTAGTTTTTGTTTTGTTACTCAAAAATTTTTTTGTTTTTGTTTTTATTTTATGTTTAAAAGCAAGGCATGCTTGTGATGACTCTGTTACAGACTAATTCGGGTTGTTGAAGCTGCTCCCAGGTTCCACTCTGCAGGGTGATCCGGGACATCTAGTTTTTGTTGTTGTTGTTGTTGTTTTTTGGGGGGGGGGTAGTGTGTGTGGGGTTTGTTTTTATTTAGTCATTTTTTAAAAAGTCATTAACCATTTGACAGCCCTTTAGGTGAGGAGGATGGAGTGATTCCACATTCCACTTCCTAGATCTAGTTTAGAAAACATGTTCCCCACCTGGTGCTCTTAGGAAGGAGTATAGTAAATGCCTCATTTAATAACATACTCCTTTTTGAAAGTTGCCTTTTCTCTCCACCCTTGAGTAGGTTCAGTGTTTGATGAAACTCATGAAAGTGGGTGGAACCTGTCTTGCCCCTCCTCTTTTCTAGGATGCACTATATATGTGACTGACTTTCAAGGAAATTGTTAGCCATTTGCTGATTTCTTCTTCTTTTTTTTTTTTTTGGAAGTTAATGTCTAACTTCTTTCAGTGGTTAATGAAGAAAAGTATTGCACCTTTTGAAATATACCAAATGGATTTACGTATATAATTTTAAAAAAAACACATTTTTTTCCTTGTCAGTCATTGTCTTATATGCTTAGCATAGATGTGCAGCTTAATAGTGTATGATATGGTGTTCCTAGAACACAGCTGAAGACCTGGTATACATGAGGTGTGGTGCTAGAAGACAGATGTCTGTGGAATGATTCACATCCTCTTCAAGTTAGGAGGATGGAGACCTGCTTCATTAAGAAGCTAGGGGTGGGGTGGGGGTGGGGAGAACATTTAACAACATGGGGACCAGTCAGGGGAATCCCCTTATTTCTGTTTTGCATGAGGAACCTTAGAGCAGCCAATTGAGGCTCTCTAGTTTAATAAAAATCTTGGAGAGAGTCTTATGAAGACTCTTCATAGTGTTAGGGATTTTATCAGCTTATTTTGGTTGCAGTTTCCAATTTTTAAAAAATGTTTAGGTGATCATCTCCACCTTCCCCAAATCCTAATTCTTGTAGACTTGTTAGTGTTGAACCAATGCTTTCTCATGTCTCAATTCTTTGTATATGCATTCTTTTCAGATGTATTAAACAAACAACAAAACCCTTAAAAAAAAATAAAAAATAAATAAATAAAAATATCCCCACTGTCATGTGTATAAATTGAGGTTTTCAACCCTGTTACAAGCTGAATCGAAAAAAGAAATAAGCCCTGGCCAGTTTGGCTCAGCGGTTAGAGTGTCGGCCGGCAGACCAGAGAGTCCTGGGTTCGGTTCCCGCTAAGGGCAGTTTGTCACTGGCCCAGGTTGGGGTCGTGTGGGTGGCAACCACTCGATGTGTCTCTCTCACATGGATGTTTCTCTCTCTCTCTTCTTCCTTCTCTCCCTCCCCCTCTCTCCTTCCCACTCTATCTGAAGATAAATGAAAAAATGTCCTCAGGTGAGGATAAAAAAATTAATAAAATAAAAAATCAAATAGTATATGAATCTCCTTTTCACTAATTTGCCATGCTGACCGTAAAAATACCAATTTGGTATAAATGTACAGACTCTCCAGACCGCAGGCCGACGCTCTAACCGCTGAGCCAAACTGGCCAGGGCTGTACAGACTCTCAAGCAACAATGTACAGTTTTTCCTCATGCTCCACACTAAGATATGCAAACATTTAAGGGTCAAGGAATATCAAATGTACAGGCTTCAAACACCATCTGAGTTAGGGTACTCACTAATTTTAGCTAAGATACATATGGAACACTGACAAGTGATCACTTATATACAATAATGTGAAGCAAACTTTTTGAAAAATAAAACTTTAGTGCAGGAGTGGGGAATGTCCAGCCTACAGGCCATATAAGGCCCGTGCAATCATTTGGTCTGGCCCTGCCAAGGCAACTGCAGGCAGGACTCGAAATTCAATAAATCTAGGAGCTTTTTTCATAGCAAAATTAATTTATATTAAGTGAATCATAATAATAACATAAATTTTGAGGGACAAGCAAGGAACGTCCATTACAGAATAGATAGGACACATATGAGTATAGGACGGGACAGACACATATGCTTCTCATCGGCTGCCCGAGGCCTGTGTGCCTGTATTGTGGTGACTCAGAGGACAGTCAGTGCCAGGCAGGCTGACAGTGTACATGTTGTGATAACATACTGTGGCAAAACTATGGCGATCCAGTGATGATATGAGATGCGATGACATGATTCCTTGAGACGTTGATGACCTTGCCTTGGTTGACTGACGATGATGTTGTCAACTTCTTTCTCAACACAGACAATAATCTAATCCAACTTTTATCCACACATCCAAGATCAACATTCCTCGAAAAAAAAATGGAATCTCAGATGAAGATTAAGGAAATTACAGTACACAGAAAAGACCTCAAGATTGGATGAACATTGGATATGTTCCAAATCCAAGGTGCAGGATTAGAACAGCGATCAAAGCAAAATAATCGTGTCACTGACAACACACACATTGGATAGTTATTAAAACTTAAGTGGTGTAACATCCTACAATTGGTGACTACAAAGAAAAGAAAAGTTGATACAGAGTGTCAATCTTTCCAAGAGAAATGGACAAATGATTATTTTTTTGTCAAAGTCAAAGGCAAGCCTGTGTGCCTAGTTTGTGGCGATGCGTTAGCAGTAATGAAATAAGCCAATCTAGAGCGTCATTGCAGCTCAAAGCATGCTAAGCTCAATGAATTGGGACACCAGATGCATGTGGAAAAAAATCAATGCTCTTCAACAGAGTTTGGAATCACAACAAGCTGCTTTCACTAGGCCTTGTTGTGACAGAGACAACGTTATCCAGATGAGTTATGCAGTGAGCAAGCTAATCACAAAGAAGCTGAGGCCTCATGTACAGGGAGAGTTTGTGAAAGAGTGCATGGTGGCTGCAGGAGATTTCCAATTTTTCTCTCTGGCTTGTGACAAGACAACAGACATAATAAATACTGACCAACTGGCTGTTTTCGTTTGTGGGATAACAGGCAAAAGGAACAGCAGTCACTGGAAGCCATGCATGGCACTACAACAGGTGAGGACTTGTTTGAGAGACTTGTTTTATTAATGAAAAAACTTGAGCTAACATTTGAAAAGTTAAGTGGCCTTACTACAGATGGAGCTCCAGCCATGGTTGGCTCACAATAAGGGTTAATTGCATTTGTCAAGAAAGAATTGAATCATCTCAGTCTCGATCCAAGTGATTTAATTAGATGCCACTGCATTGTACTCCAAGAAAGTCTCTGTGCACAGTCATTGCAGCTCAACAATGTGATGTCAGCAGTAGTATCATGCCTAAATTTTGTCAATAGCAGGGGGTTTAATAGCCGCCAGTTTAAGAAGTTACTGAATGATCTTGACTCTGAGTGCGGTGATCTTGTTTATCACCGTGAAGTGCGGTGGCTGAGTTGCGGCAACATGCTCATGAGGTTTTACGAACTGTGAGATGAAGCCAAGCAGTTCATGGAGATGAAGGGAAAAACCTGTCAGGGAACTCAATGATAGCAAGTGGCTGTGTGATTTAGCCTTCACAGTGGACATTACCAAGTACCTCTCAGAGCTCAATGTAAAGCTGCAGGGCCCCAGCCAGCTTCTCAGCTCCCTGCTTTCAAATGTGAAATCATTTGAAGCTAAATTAAGGCTGTGGAAGTGGAACTCGAAAAGAATAACAGTGCATTTCCTTACTGTGAAAGGACAAAAGCCTTCCAGGACACTTGAATATGTAGATGAATGTGTGAAACTAATTGAGGCATTTGATGAAAGATTCAAGGTCATGAAAAATAAACAAATGGAATTGAACATCTTTGCTACACCGTTCAATGTGGAACCAGCCGATGTGCCTGACAACCTACAACACAAAATCATTTGGCTGCAAAGCAATGATGAGCTGAAAGCTAGGTACAACAACCTTAAAAAAAAAAAAAAAAAAAGGAAAGAAATCAGCCTGTAATTGACCAAATTGTGTCACAAGAAATGGCTCAGCCTCCTTGGGGGAGACAAAGCTTTGGATGTGAATCCCATCTTTACTTGCCGCGAGTAAATAAAACTGACAACAATCACATCTTGTTCTTTTTTTTTTTTTTAATCCTCACCCGAGGACATTTTTCCATTTTTTGTTCAGACAGAGTGGGAGGGAGGGAGAGGAAGAGAGGAAGAGAGAGAGAGAGAGAGAGAAAGAGAGAGAGAGAGAGAGAGACATGGATGTGAAAGGGACACATCAAGTGGCTGCCACCCGCATGACCAACCAGGGCCGGGATAAAAAGGGCAACCGCTGAGCCAAACCGGCCAGGGCCACATCTTGTTCTTGAATAGAACACCCCAAGCAGCGAACCCCTTTGAGTTCCCTAAGGCATTGGCCTGATAGGGAAGACAAAGCCCAAGGAGCTTCACCGCAAGAATACTGGAAATTGTAGTCTTCAGGGTGAGGCACACTGAGCTTGAGTCCCCTACCACCTCCTTTCTATCACCAGGGGAACAGGCTAACGAGAAAGTCAAAACTCACACAACTTGGGAAGCCATCATACTGGAAAGTGCAGTTTCCCAGTGCAGGGCAGAGTTGCCTACTGGAAAACCCACTCCTCTGGCTGCCACGTTCCCGGACAGATGGAGAAAGGCATGGCCTGGAAGCGCTGCACTCCGGCTACTGGGAGACGTAGTCTGGCCTCCGTGGCCCCAAATAGCCCACCTGCCTTCCTGACGGTGGTTGTGAGCCCCCTGCCCCGAGGGATGGCTCCCGCCCGCCACGGGAGGGAGATCCCTCACTGCGCGCACGCTCGCTGCCCCTCCCTTCCTGCATCTGCTGGGAACTGAGTCAGCGCGGCGAGACCCCTGGGGAAAGGGGGCCAGAGCGCGTGCGCAAGACCAAGGCCGAGCCCCGGAGCGCAGGAGGCGAGACGCCGGCGCTGGGCTCCCGAGGTGGGCTGGGGTGCG